CTATTCTTTCTATAATATTTTAAAAGCAGAATTGTACTTTATGTAAAATCTCAATTAAATATTCAATAAAGATAGAGTCATGGCCTCACCATTAATATTAAAAAAAAAAAAACTTTAAAATAGTCATTTAAAAAACTTCTAAAAGAGAATTTTTCTCTGAGTTATTCTATAATTTGTATAAAATTAGTATTTAGATTCTGTAAGTCAATTGGAAAATAAAGTTTGTATTTGCTATTTAGATTCTAATATATCAATATAGTAGTTTTTTTAGTAGTGATAAGTAAAGAAACTGAAGAACATACTATTATAGACATAGTAGTCTTGTAGTTTCTTTTTAAAGTATATCAAGTTGTTTAGTTAACTGTGCTTTGTAATAGAAAAAAAATATCTTATTTCTGAATATAGTTCATATATGCTTTTTGTTATTGAGTCTAAAATTATAAAATATTTTTCTAACAATTGGTGAAAGTTATAAATTCTATGTAGTCCAGCTACAATAGCTTTTGTTTTTAATCTTTGTTTTATAAAAAGTTTAAAAGGAAGTATTTGAAGATTCTCTTGTGTTGTTTTGCTTTGATCTGCTAAAAATAAAACTAGTTATACAAAGAAGACATTCTGTATTGTTTTTTGTATTTTTTTAAATTCAATTGAAGATTTATTTTTTGTAAAGACTTTGTAATATTTAATTAAATGACATATGGTTTTGGTTGTATTTGTTATAAAATTTGTATTAGTAAAATAGTTAATTATAATTTTTATAGAAGTTTTACATATATAATATCTGTAATTGTCCTTGTTATGATTATAATTTCATGTTGTATTTTATAATTTTTAATTACTATTTTATAAAAATCTTTATATATAATTTGATGGGTAGTATAGATCATTTATCTCTTGTAAATATAAGAAAAAAGACATGATTCTGATGTTTAAATTTTATTTTGATTGCAGAATGAAGAAAAAAATTAGTTGGTTTAGTTTACAACTTATATACTGTAAAGTTAAAATTTCCTTTTTTTGTTTTAAGAATAGTAATAATTTTATTATATTTACAAGCAACTTTATTAAAAGGTTAAGTAATTCTATTTGTTATTGTATATTCTGTCTATCTATTCTTGAATATAATCAATTTCTATATTAGTTTGTATTCTACTAAATATAGAAATATTTTTTTAATCATTTAGTTATAAGTAAGTAATTTGTGTTCTTTTGAATTGCTGTTTATAATTGCAACAGATTTTGTATCTATATGGTTGTCTTATATATTTATATATTCTTTATTATTTAAAATATTATATTGATCATCTATACTGTTTAGTTATCTCTAGTGTTGGGATTTTCTAAAATAGAAGTGTAGAACTTTTAGATTCTGTTAATATATTATCAAAACTAGTTTGTATAAGTTTGTTATTGTTGTTTGTATGTGATAATGTTATAATTGAATTTGATAAGATTGAGCTGAATTGTATATTTTTGTATTATTTTAAGATCTTAAAAGAAGAACTTATTATTTTTTAACTAATATATCTGAGTAGATGGAATTTTTCTTGGTATTGGTTCTGTTTTTCAAAAAACTGTTGTTATAAAGACTTGTAGTTTGCTTTCCTATTTGTAATTGTAGTATAATCTCAAAGAAGAAAATATAAATAAAAGATCTACTAACTTATGTTGATTTTCTTTGTTAAAATGTTTTTAGTTCTGCTTTGTTTTCTTTTAGTTTTATTTGTATTTTTAATTTACCTGTCTATATACTGTAAGCTTAAAGCTAAAAGCAACTGTTAGTTACTAAAACTTTATTTACTTTGTAAATTTTTATGTATATACTTTTGTTGATTATTTTTTACTTAGTATTTTGTGATCTACAAAAAAGAGTTTTTTAATTTTTTTAATAACTGAAATATTTATATATTATTAAAAATAAAATTAAAAATCTCATTTTTATATTTTATTTATAAAGCAGAATATACTATATTTACACCACAAAGTTATTTTTATATAGAATTTTTATGTGATTAAAATTTATATCCAAGTTGATAACAATATTTTTCTATAAGACATTGAAATTTTAACAATTTGGTTGTTTGATAATTCTTGACTAATCACTTGTAGATAATCTATTTTATTTAAACTATCAAATACTCACCAATTTTTATATTATAATAAAAATAAAACATAATAAATAAATTATCAAATAATGATAAGAAAAAAAATAGATTTGTTATACATAGCAACTTTGTTGCTAGTTGATGATATTGAGTTTAAATTACATAACTCTACTCAATATTCTGATGCAAATATAGACTATCCTAATTTATTAAAATCATAAATCACTTTTATAAAAGTTCTTTTCAGAATAAAAACTGGGTGTTTTTTTTAAAAAAAAAGCGGTGCAGTACTTATTTAGTGCTTAGATCCGGTATGGTAATTTCAGTTTCTTTAGAATGCGTGTACTTCTTTCTTGCAAGTACTTTTTTATGTAACAATGTCATTCTGTTACCTTTAGCTTCTAGTTCTTTTTCAATATTATTCATCAAGACATCATATTCTTCAAATGAAATGTTCATAAAAGAAGCCAACACATCTCTCGCATTTCTAAAAAACATGAGAAAAAAATCAATAAAAACTTCTTCAGAAGCATTCTTGGCCTGTGGTTTTATTATTCGATACGACATATAATCGATTTTTCCAGTCTCATGAAGGTAATTTTCAAAGTTGTTCAATATATCAGAATCAATATTTTGTGTCTCGAGATACGATCTCCCTAAAATTTATAAATTGGGTAAGAAAATATTTTATAATAAGTGAGACTTCCTAAATGCAATTCCACTTGATGAAGCACATCTTTAAATTTTGGTTTAACCCAAAATGTAGTTTTTTTTTTAAGGTTTATGGTAACGCACCCACCTGATCAGCCAATCAGATCGTAAGATCAGGTGTAACGCGAAATCGAAAGAAAGTAACAATTTTCTAAAAATCGCTTGTAGTTCATAATTTTGCTTATGAAATCACTTTTCGCGTTTTAATAAAAAAAAATTCCTTGCAAAATTTTGATATAAGGATATTACTTAGTACTGAACTATCTTAACTCTGGCCCTTACCCTAAATTAATGCGTTAATTGGTTTGTTTTGATTTCACGTCACACCTGATCTTATGGGTGCGTTACAACGCATATGCTCAAAATGATACTATTCTTTTTTTTAATACCCTTTAAATGTATGCATGGTTAAAGTAGTTTTTACGAACTGCATTTGGAGGAGTCTTACTGTATATATGTTTTTAGAATAAATGCGCGATAACACACATGCGTTGACTAATCCTGTATACATTAGTCCAGGAGCAAGGTCCGTCTGACGCGAGTTTATAACCTTATATATATATAATGTTAGAATCAGCAAGTACAATATTATAAAGTTAATCTCTTCCCCTCACCTCTAACCAACCTCCTGGCCTTAATACTCTAAATAGCTCAGATAAACCTTCTTGAAGCGTTGTTTTTTCTAAATATAAAAAATTATCTCTAGTAAAAACATAGTCAAATTCATTATCTGGGAATGGTATCTTTTTAAAATCATCACATTCAATAAATGTAATATTATTAAATTCATTTCTAGAATCCAGTATGATAGAATCAACCGCATAAAATTCTGAATTTGGATATTCAGCTGCAACCTAATATAGTTCTAGAAATTAATCATAAAAAAAGAACCAAGTTATCACCATTTACAAAAGGGTAGTATGATAAATACCTCTGCAGTCCAAATTCCACATTCACTTTTTTTATGAAAATTTAAATTAGTAAGCATTTGTGTAAAATGTACATAAAAGAACAAAAATCTGATTTACCGAAATGCTAGTACTTTAGCACTCTTTTGTAGCTTTTCATGAACTGGAGCCCCTAAATCGCCATTAAAAAAAAACTTGTAGAAGTTATGCATATAAATCTGAACATCTTCATCATCAATAATATTAAAAACGTTCTTAGGTGTACTATCGTGTTCATTAATTTGTGTAAGATGGTTCATTGTGAAAAAATTTAGAATTTAACAAACCTGAAAATACGCATCAATTTATTTATCCTAAACTCATGTGTTAGTACCTTTAAGTAGAACCAGTCATATAGTATGATAATATACTCAACTCCAATAAATTATATGAAACTTATTATATCAGCACTCATATAATTTGAACTAGACTACATTTGACTTTACTTACAAAAAGAAATCCATTTATATATAATCGTTACACTTAACGTTAATCGCCGGAACACTTTAAGAAGTGATCGACGATCACATGATACATATCGTGACGTCATTTGTTTGCCTAAACTATATCCTTAATCTAACCCTAACTTAGGATAGATGATTGTCATGTGATATTGCGAGCTTAATGGGGTTAACTCTTCTTAAATCTTCTCAAAACATCAAACACTAATTAAAATCAGGTCGCCATAATTATTAGCCTAATAATAGAATTAATTACGTCATTTTACCATGTGGTAGAAGTAATTACGTCATTTTACCATGTGGTAGAATTAATTACGGCATAGTACGTATCTATTTGTCGTAAATATTATATGCTGTAATGCTGTAACGTGTTACGGCAAATTACCAAATTAATTCTACCACCAACTATACCATTTGTACATAGTAGAAAGAGTCCAAAAAATGATTTTAAGATGATCAAGTTTATTGTGATAGGAAATTTAGTTTTATTGTTTCATAATTTCGGGTGATGTGCGAGTATCCTAAAATGTTTTATACCAATCAATTTTCGCATCAAAATTTATCCGAGTCTTACAAAATCTTATTATTGATTTTCAGAAGCCTTCTATTGCAAATATTTTCTTAATGAGATTTATTAAAAAGGTTCTAAATTGATTTTTTTATTAAAAAAAAAAGGATACACCCAATTAAATACATAAATACATAAATTGTATGATAAAAACCTTTATCCGGCATTGGAATTTTACAATTTTTATGCTGTGGGGTCCATTACTTAATTAAGAAAAAGGTCGATCGCATCTGTCGCATTCGTCGATCAGTTGCATGTGACGAATGTGTCGGATATCAGCGATTGGTTAGAAGGGTATTTTGGAAGATATCAGTAAGGTTCTATGTATCGGTAGCATCGTAACAATCGCAGGATGTAAATAAATTTTGCAATTATAAATAAAGGCTGAAGGCCTTCGGGAAAGATAACTTCCCCTTTGCTACATAGCTAAAAAACACACAACACATCAATAAACCACTTGTTAAAAGATCATAAATTGGTTGCTTTATTAAAATACTCGTTATCTATACTGCATAACCTGACCCTACGGTACAATTTCATAAAGCACGTCAATCCCCCTGCATATTAACGACTCAAACCTCCCTTCGTTCATAATACACTGTAAAACCGACCAACAATACCATTAACCACTCGTCAAATCTAACACGCCTTATTCGACCCATTAAAACCTTCCTAGGCAGAAGTTTGTCTGATTGGCTAATAAATAAAATTTAATTTTACATGATTTATACAGTTTTGAGTACTTTTTAAAAAAACTAAACCTAAAAAAAAAAAAGAGCTGTATAGAAGGTTTTATTAGAACAGTAGTCTGTTTAAAAAAGATATAATAATAATAACTTCTCAACGCCCGGTCAACTTATTATTAAGCTAATTTTTTAAACGGATAAGAGTTAGATCTTATTTTTGACTATTGAGTCCTACAGCTCTAATGAAACTTTCCATATGATTTTTTTTTTACTTTATTATGGTTGGTTTTCGTTTTTTTAAAAAAGTACTCTAAACTGTATAAATAACGTAAAATTAAATTGAATTTATTAGCAAATCAGCGAACTTCTGCCTATGAAGTGCTAGGCCATATTTATATAATCGATTTTCATATCAGGAATCTAAAATTTTTATTTGTTTAATATATCATAAAATAGAAATCCTCCACGCATATAATGCGACAAGTTTGTGCCGGCAATACAACCCAAAAAAGGAAATTTGATTTTGTAAATAAACGAAGTGCGTAAAAACACAAATTTAGGGTTAGAACATTAACACCGGAGGCTATAGCCATAGACTAATTGTAAAAATTCGGTTCGACATTTTTAATTAGTGCATTAAGGCCGATCTAAATTATAGGTTTTGAGTATCTTTTACACGTGTTGGAATTCATGTCGGGCTGATCAAAATTTGAACTCACTGATTGGCTATTTTCTTTTTAGGGGTTTGTATTACCGGCACAAATAAGTAAAGCCGGGTTAGTGGAACAGCGATGTTACACGACTGATCCTTCACTCGGTGTGCAACATATAAAAAAATTATTTTACAATACCAGTAGTACATGTTATGATTATAATCCCAGACCATTTTATTATAATAAAAATGGTGTGGGATTATAATCATAACATGTACTAGCGGGTAATATAAAATAATTTTTTTATATGTTGAACACCGGGTGAGGAATCACGGTTCCTCCTATTGTTAGTGGTGCTATAAAAATGTCGCGGTTACACAATTACTGCCCCGTTTTCGACCCATTTTATAGTCCAAAGTTCATAGACAGAAGTTCGTCTGATTGGCCAATAAATTCAATTTTTTTAAAAACTAAAACCAACCATAATAAAGTAAAAAAAAACATATAAAAGGTTTCATTAGATTTGTAGGACTCCATAGTCAAAAATAAGATCTAATTCTCGTCCGTTTAAAAAAATAGCTTTGTAATAAGTTGATTTTATCGGGTTTTGAGAAGTTATTGCTATACTAACTTTTTAAACGAACGAGAATTAGACCTTATTTTTGGCTATGGAGTCCTACAGCTCTAATGAAACCTTCCATATGTTTTTTTTTACTTTATTGTGGTTGGTTGTCGTTTATTAAAAAAGTACTCTAAACTGTATAAATAATGTAAAATTAAATTGAATTTATTAGCCAATCAGCCAAACTTCTGCCTATGAGTCCGAAGTACCATGAAATCACGAAGTGTATGGTGTGAGTCACAAAAACGTGTCATGAACACGTGAAAACTGCACGAAGTGCAATTTATTACATTTATATAGGGGGCGGTATTTCGAATGTAGAGGGGTATATAGGAGGATAAGGGGAAAATTTAAAAATTCTTAAGACAACTATTGTAAATAATGTTAAATAGTTTTATTAAATATTAAATACAATATGATGTTTGTAAAAGGTGGAAGTGGGTAATATAAATAAATGACAAATGATCATTAAGAGCATTATGTCTTGCTTGCTTTATTAAATAATAAGTTCCAATCTTATACACTGTTCAAATATTACAATAGCATTATTATGATATAAATCTTATAAATCTCATAAAAATCATTGTTCATGCAAGTTTTTGATCATTTGATTTACATACCTGACTTTATTTACTCAGGTAACCAAAGCCTTGACAAATGAACAAAATTATATTTTGTTCACTTTAATGATTGTGTTTCAAGGGAATGTATGATTAACTGTAATCATTTAATTATTCAATAATTTACCAGAGTATGAAGGTTAATTCTGTTCACTTTACTAATTGTTTTTTAAGAGAATGTATTATTTACCATAATCATTTAATTATTCAATAAATCACCAGCATGAATATAAAGTTTAATTCTGTTCATTTTAACATTTGTGTTTTAAAAGAATATATGATTAACTGTAAGCATTTTTTCAATAAATCACAAGCATGAGTATATAGTTTTGTTCTGTTTATTTTAATGTTTGTGTTTTAAGAGAATATATAATTAACTGTAACCATTTAGTAAAATTGCCAGCATGAATATAAAGTTTAATTCTATTTACTTTAAAGTTGATGTTTTAAGATAATATAATTATTTATAATTATTTAATTATTCAATAAATTCTTAGTTGAACATGAAGTTTAATTCTGTTTACTTTAATGATTATATTTCAAAAAAATATATAATTAATTATAATTATTTAATCATTTAATAAATTACAAGCATGAGTATAAAGTTTAATTTGTACTTTAATATTTAAATTTTAAGAGAATGTATGACTAATTGTAATCACTTAGTCAATTAATAAGTTAACAGTATAAGTATAAAGTTTAATTCTGTTTACTTTAATGATTGTGTTTCAAGAGAAAATATAACTAACTGTAATTATATAATCATTTAATGAATTACTAGTACAAATATGAAGTTTGATTCTTTATGTTTCAAGAGAATTTATAATTAACTGTAATTATTTAATTATTCAATAAATTACTAGCATTAGTATAAAGTCTAATTTTGTTTACTTCACTTTAATATTTAAGTTTTAAGAGAATGTATGATTAACTATAATTATTTAATTGTTTAATAAATTACAGTGTGAGTATAAAGTTTAATTCTATTCACTTTAATAAACTATTTAATAAATTATTAGTATAACTATAAAATTTAATTCTATTTACCTTAAATGTTTGTGTTTTAAGACAATATATAATTAATCATAATTATTTAATTATTCAATAAATTGCCAGTATGAATATAAAGCTTAATTCTGTTCACTTTAACTTTTATGTTTCAAGAGAATATATATATGATTCTGTAATTATTTTAATTATCTAATAATTTACAATATTATAAAGTTTATTTTTGTTTATTTTAATGAATTAATTATCATCATTTAATTATTCAATAAATTACTAGAATGAGTATAAAGTTTAATTCTGTTTATTTTAAACATAAGGGTTATTGTGCAAATTGTGAACTATTAAAACATAACATAAGTAAAAAAATATATATCTATACTTATAAACCCAACTCATCCCAAATTTGACTGCTAAGTTGATTATATGTTATATAACAATTTAGTTTATAAAATAACAAAATTGCAGCAGAGACTATTAACATTACATATATATTAAAAATAATAAGTGATTATATCCATTACAATTAAATCTAATATAAATAATTTAATTTGTGATTGATCACAGATAAGGGATTTATAGTTACTGTCTTTGCTATATAACAGACTCAAAATTGTTGATATTATTAGTATTTAGCATTATAAT